AAATTTAAAAGAAATATAAAATATATAAAATATGGTGCATAAAAAATTAATAATTAAAAAAAATGGAAATTGTGCTTGGAAGTTTTGAGTTTGTTTAAAAGAAAACTAAAAAATAATTACAATTTACGCCGAACACATTAGATTACCATAATATGGTTACTTGAAGCCATGTTATTACTTGAAACAATAATATGATTACTTGAAACTACAACATAACATTATGATTAATAAAACTATATTATGATGAAATATTCGTACTATATTTAATCATAATATGATATCTTATTATACTAATAATGATCATAATATGATATTTCTTGATACTAATAATGATTATAATATGTTTTCATTTTAACCACAATTCTAACCATAATTTGTTGCTCTTAGATTAGGTTACCACAACTATATTTTTTCTCTGCGTGTATAGAACTTATTTTGATTAGGTCGAAAAGATTTATTTTAAGTGATTTTCGGATATGGACTTTTTAAACGATGTTGTTGTTGTTGTTATATGGGAGCTACGACCTATAACGGATCCATTGGAAAACATTTTACCAGAATGATTTATCTATACACAGAATATGCAATAAACAATAATATAATATAAACATTTTAGTTAGTTAGTTTGAAATGTATATTATGGGTATGACTTTTTTGGACGGCAAAATACCATAGCACTGCCTTATAGCCAATACTGTCCTGATAATATAAGACTATTTTTTAAGGCAATTCGGTCAAAGAACTTCCCGCACCGAAAGCAATTTATTCAAAAATCATTTTAATATTTGTTAAAATTTCCATAACAAGGATTCAAAGAACAATGTTCTCTTTAAGATAATGTAATACAAATGAAAAATGTTGGCTAAAATATTTATTTTTCTCATATAGATAAAGTAAAATTTATACAAAACTTCATCGCCTTTGGTGCGGGAACTTTTTTCACGATCGCGAAAATATAATATCATATTCCTTAATTTCTGTTCACGGCCTACAAGCTCCTGCTATTTTATGTGCCACCCTTAACCAGTGCCTCAGGTGGGAATCGAACCCATAGAAATTGTTCTAAATTCACGACCAATATCACCGATGTCTGAAGACCCAGATGACCTGCAGGCCCTTACTCCGAGTCATTTTCTCCGCGGTGCGCTATTGGTATTCGCGCCAGAAATACCGCCTGACAATTTGTCGATATTGAATCGCTGGGAACGACTGAAAGCACTACATCATAAATTTGGTCAACGATGGAAAAATGAGTACCTTCTGGAGCTACACAAGAGGTACAAATGGCAGAATCCACGACGGGATCTACAGACTGGTGATTTCGTTATCATCAAGGATGAGCTTCTTCCTCCATGCGACTGGAGGTTAGGCAGAATAGAAGCCGTACACGTTGGTCGGGATAAGCGCGTAAGAGTCGCTGATGTTAGAATATCTAGTAGCGTCGTGACCCGACCAATCGTAAAATTATGCATGCTCCCGTTATGTGAAAAGTCTGTAGATTAGTTTGTTCTTGTCCACACAATGTCGTGTCTATGTGTCCAAAGCTATTTTTTCGACCTTAATCTGCCTCTGTTGTGTTTTAATATCATTCCAGAATGGATCCAGCCCAAACCCCAGAATTGTGCGTTGTGTGTTTTGCATACCACCCATTGAGATATTGCAAGATGTTCCGCAAGTTGACATTAGAGCAACGACTTTATGTGGTGAGAACCCATAAGTTCTGCACCAATTGCTTCTCGCGGACCCATCTTATAGGGAGCTGTATCTCAATGGGTGCATGCCAAATATGTTGCGATTTGCACCACATTTGCTGCATCCAAGGACTGCTGCTCAGGGGCCAAGGCAAAGGCAACCACAACAGCCACGCCAACGCGCTCGCAGAAGCCTCCCCAACCCTCCTCAACAGAGAGCTCAACAGCGGTTAGATGACCTCCGCCAACGACTACAACAACAGCAGCAGGTTATTCAACAGCAACAACAACAGCTACAGCAGCAAGTGGGCCTTATATGGGAGCTATGACCAATAATGAACCGATCCGTAAAAAATTTAGTAGATTGATTTGTATGTACACAAAACATATTTAACTTGAATTTTATCACAATAGCTATATTCATCAATTAAATATGTACGTTTAGGTGATTTTCGGAAGTGGACCTTATATGGGAGCTATGAACAATTGTGGACCGACTAAGATCTACGTTGACTATATGATTTCTGTTCACATTATATTTGCATGTACAAAATTTTGTGTTGATACCGATATATTTGAGGGAGTTATTAACGATAAACTAATTTCCGGGAATATATGCCTTTGTATGGGGGCTATGGGACATATTCGATCGATTGTAAAGATCTTGAACATAATTAATTGTGACAAAATTCATCGAAATATCTTTGGTAGTTTCTGAGAAAACTTCAAATGAATGTTGGAAAAAACGTAATTTTTTTCGAGGTAGTCTGAAATTTTTACTCATAACTTTTTACGTTGTGAACCGATTTTGCTGATTTTCAATACCAAACTGCTTAGGATAATAATAAATATTTTGGGTGAATTTGGTTGATTTCCTTTGCTTAGTTTTAATGAGAGCGTGTTTTACACAGACAGATAGACGGACAGACAGACAGACAGACGGACATAGCTAAATCGACTCAGAATTTGATAAGGACCCAGAATATATATACTTTGTTGGGTCTTAGATGAATATTTCTTGGTGTTACACACGGAACGACAAACTTATATATACCCTCTATCACCACTGATGGTTGTGGAGGTTATAATAAATGGAAACAGTGAAGAAATAGCTATATAAACTACTTTGGATAATTTTTGCAAGGACCAATAGTTTGAAAACTAATTTGAAAAAACCCTGTATGACCAAAATGTCCATCTTTGGCCTCCTCTAAATGCGGCAGTTCTTGACCGATAGAGCTGTGTCTGGCCTACTATCCAATAGTACTAACCTTGGTGCAAATTTCATCCAAATCAATTTTTTTGAGTTGAATGAAATCGATTTTTTGAGTTTTTTAGGGATTGATACATATTTCTTGATTTAATATAAGGCAATGTGTCTTTCATGGTTTAACGAAGCATTTTCTTTACTACACTATATAAAAAATAAATCAAAAAACCACTTAACATAGTAAAGTGAATACAGAATTTGTTTTCCGCTTTGTAGGATTGTTATGAGAGTAGTAAGGGAGGTATATTTACATTAACAGTAATTGTATCTGTTTTTCATCACAACCGCCAATTGTGTTAAAATTTGGTTTTTGTGGTATTTGCATATCATAAACTCTATCACACACACAGAAATTGTACACATAAAAATACATGCTAAATAAAAATAAAGCAGACGGTTAATCTACAATCATCGTTGATGGTTGTAGAACAATTTTTGCCACATAAATCTAGTAATTGTAAATGTATACGGAATATGAACATAAATATTTATACCCATACATACATACATACATACATACATACATAAGCATGTATGTATGTATGTATGTATGTATGTATGTATGTATGTATGTATGTATGTATGTATGTATGTATGTATGTATGTATGTATGTATGTATGTATGTATGTATGTATGTATGTATGTATGTATGTATGTATGTATGTATGTATGTATGTATGTATGTATGTATGTATGTATGTATGTATGTATGTATGTATGTATGTATGTATGTATGTATGTATGTATGTATGTATGTATGTATGTATGTATGTATGTATGTATGTATGTATGTATGTATGTATGTATGTATGTATGTATGTATGTATGTATGTATGTATGTATGTATGTATGTATGTATGTATGTATGTATGTATGATGTATGTATGTATGTATGTATGTATGTATGTATGTATGTATGTATGTATGTATGTATGTATGTATGTATGTATGTATGTATGTATGTATGATGTATGTATGTATGTATGTATGTATGTATGTATGTATGTATGATGTATGTATGTATGTATGTATGTATGTATGTATGTATGTATGTATGTATGTATGTATGTATGTATGTATGTATGTATGTATGTATGTATGTATGTATGTATGTATGTATGTAGTATGTATGTATGTAAAGATAACAGATAGAAAAATATGTCCTTATTTTCAATCTTTGCGCAATCACTCAACAACAACCAACAGAGAAATTAAATGTGGCGGCTATGTATGTATGTATGTAAAGATAACAGATAGAAAAATATGTCCTTATTTTCAATCTGCTGTTCATTATGTTTGTTAGATTTTAATCTGTAGCCACATTGATTATCTATATATGTATGTATATCTACTGTGAAAGAGTAAATGAGTTCTAATGGATTTTATAAGGGGGGTTGGTTGCTATTTAATGCAAAGTATCTAATGATTTTAAGAGAGTTTTTCTTTTGACGCATATTTTCTGGATTAAAACAAAATGAACATTTGGCATCTTAGATTGCGGGAAGAGATTTAAAGCACTTGACGTGACCAATAAAAGTCATAATAATTTTCCTAATGTACATATGTACACTACCTCAATATGCTTTCCTCAAGTATAAAGTTACAAACAAAATGTTTTTATTCTACTAACAAACACTTCCTTAAAAATTTATATAATAATATAAAATTTTTCTTTGTAACTTATTTACATACATATATATTTATAGTAAAGGGTTTCAACAAGGGTATTTTTAACCAACATTAACGTTTTAACATTTTTTGTTGACATATCACAATTAGGGGCTTTGACTTTTAAATATTGCTCAACACGAACACGCGAACACGTTTATGGGCTGGGACTTTTAAGGCAATATAAAAATCGAACTGACAATATCCTTAAACTTTAAATTCATGTCATTATTAACAGAATAAACCCGCTATTTTGTATGCCTGGCAATCATAAAAATTATCTGTGAAACTTTTGCGTGTGACATTATCAATCTGAAGAATGGTAATCAATATAAATCGAGTTAAATAATACATAAATTGTATAACTCACCTGGATCATCCATACGCTTTCTTTTAATACTGTTTCCATGTTGATCAATGGGTGAACTTTGCTGTTGATTTTGATGATGATGATGTGTTTGCTGCTGATGGTGATGATGGTGGTGATGATGATGTTGTGGATGATGTATGCCTAGAATACCATTAATACTATAACCGGCTGTTCGATGTTCTCCGATACCATTTGTTGTATTCTGATTATTGCTAGTTGTAGAGGTGGTGCTGTTATTCGCTGTACTGAGTATATTTTGTTGCTGCTGTAATTGCATGGCCGCAGCTGCAGCAGCCCCTGTTGCCGGGGGTCCTGTAGATCCTGTTTCTGAGGCTGGTGCAAGTGTTATTACGGAGGTGGCATTGTTGCTATTAATATTGTTATTGTTGTTGCCACTGCCAGCATTATTACTACTGATATTTGTATTATTGCTACCATTGTTATTGTTACTACTATTGTTATTATTACTATTATTAATTGCAGACAGTTCATTGGAATTATTCTCCAAATTATCTGTTATACTACTGCTACCGCCGCCGTTATTTGTCCCTCCACTGCCCCCGCTTACATTCCCGCTGCTTTGTTGATGATGGACATGTTTAGCTTTTTCAGCAGCTTTATTTCGCACAATCCTTAAAATTAAAAAAGTAAAAAAATATAATCTAACATTCTATGTACAAAGGTACACTATAAATAGATTTACTACTTTCTACCATATTAAAAACAAAAATAATCACATAATTGAAAGAAAGTCTATTTGTAGACTGGCCAAATTAAATTTGATAATATATCAATCACTGCAACAACTCCCTTTTTGCAAAGAATTTCCGACACTTGTACACAAATACGTCTCGTCTGTCAATATACTCACACTGTTAAGCTCAATTGACTGCGCATTGTATCTATCCTAGCAGTTTTACAGGGAGTCATTGTATCACATTTAGATTATATATTTCTGTATCATCTGACACCATTTTATGCTTTGGATAAAAAGTTGACCGTCAATTTAGTGTCCCGAGAAAAAAGACACCCCAGTTGGATATTTCCCTAAGACGTCTTCGGGAAATACTTTATGAATTTGTCACTACTTCCCACACAAAAAACTTCGTGACATCCCCTGACATTTTCATATGTTTTGTAAAATTTCCTAAAGACAAAATCATTACGTTGTCAACACTAGGGACAAATCTGTGACATATCACACTGATGTCCAATTGAAGAGCTTTAGCAAGAACGTCATGACAATTGACCACATTTTCATGTAGGTCATCAGTCATTTTCACCAGTCAGTCATTAGTGATTACAAGGAAATGACACCTAAAGACCAGTCATTTAGTTGTTACATTTTTACAAGTTTTCTGATCTAGGGAAATATTTTGCAATACATTATATTTAATATTTAAAATGGTCATGAACAAAACTTAAAACTAATGATTTTTACTGGAATCTTCCCTTGACTTTATTAAACTTCGTTCCTTCTAACTTGCGAATTTTGTTATTGTTTTTTTTTTCTTTATCCTAATTTTTTATTTATTGTTTTCTGATAGGATTTTCATAGATATACAAACATTTATATTTAATAATTAAAAAATAAACAAATACTTATTAAATTTAAATAAAAAACAAAATATACAACGGTTATCATCAAAGCATATTTATATACATACATACATACATACATATAAGGATTAGAGGATGCCAAATACATTAGAAATAATTGTAATTGAAGTTTCACCAATTAAAATGACTTGTTATTGTGAATTTTTTCATTACAATTACAAGTAATGCAATAATTACCCCCACGCAATGTGGTAATAGAGTTGTGTAAAGTATATTTTTCAAAAATAGGCATATGATGACAAATACTTCCAAGTCATCAAGACATCTTATGTTTATTGTCAGAGGTATTCAGCTGCAGAAAAACTGCACAAATGTCAGTAAGTCATCCATTGCAAAATGTTATCACGTGATGACTTTTACGCAATGAATCACCTCTGACATTGTCCTCAAAACACAATTTCCAACTGGGACTTTAAATTTGTTTGTATGGTTTTTCTGTACTATACCTTAGTAAAGAGAAGTATTCCTTAAGAAGTAATGTAACTAGTATGAGACAGCCTTTCCGAGCTGCAGGGATACGAACACATGAATGTATAAGTATAATTGTTTATTTGTTGAATGATGGTGATAAATAAATCTTGACATTGATTACTTTACTTTTTGTTAACAGACACTCTACCCCCCCCCCCCCCCCCCCTCTCATTCAAATAAAATAATTTATTATTTATATTGACTTCTTTCACTTCCTACACCACTTTGAAAACATCAGATTTGATATTAATTAGCTGTTACTGACCAACAATTTTATTTAGCTGCCCACTTAGTATGGAAGGAGGATGTACATATATTAGAGGTGTCTAAAAATATCGATTTTGTTTGGATAGGTATTATTTTATTTATTAGTGTTTAAAACTAACCGGTGTTAAATATTAGGAATTCGTTTGAAAAGTGTAAAATTGCGTAAATAATATTACTTTTTAAATTTCTTCCAATATTGTGCCACTTAAATTATATTTTCTTAAAATTATGACCAAATTTTATAATCTATAGATTATCTATCCAACGAGGTACCAAAAATTTATATCAAAGAACAATCAACAAAGTTATTGACAATTTTCCAAGCCGTTTATTCAAAAAATCATAATTTTATTTGCATGGTTTGATACAGAAGTGATATATCAACAATCTACACAAAAAGGTCGGAGCACTATATTCGGCTATGCCGAATCTTAAATACCCTCTACCATAAGCTACTTTTTATCAAAACCCTTCTAAATATTTCTAGATACGTATTTAATATATTGTAAATGTTTAAATTTTGCTTCAGTGATGAGGGTGCTATCATTTGAAAATCATATAGTAATTGTTTTATATATCATTTAGTAACTGTCATAACTAATTTATGGACCATTTATGGAGATATGGCCAATTATTGGCCAATCCGAATAAAATTTCGCAGAATTATTTATCGATAAAAAACACGATGTCGGATTATATCCGTATATACTTATATTTTAATGAAATATATTGAAAAAGTGACTTAAGGATTATGTATTGATCCTAAATTTGTTTAAAAAAGATTTCTTGTATATACAAAATATACTCATGAACATTTTTAAATTTATTTTATTACGATATGTTTATTTATTAATGAAATATGCGATTTTCATTGGTCATATTTATATACCCAAAACATATTTATATTGACTATTTTTAAAACATGTTTATTTCTTTAAATATTTGCATTTAAGTGATTTTCGGAAGTGGTGACCTATTATGAACCGAGTGATACATGTATACACAAATCATATTTATGTTGATTATTATTCCAATATTTTCATTTCTTAATTGTTTATATATATATATATATATATATATATATATATATATATATATATATATATATAGTGAATATTTGCATTTGATTTTCGCTGTTTTCTTTTACATAGTTTTAACGTGAGCGTGTTTGAGGCAAACAGGCAGATGGACATAGCTAAATCGACTCAGAATATCATGAGGATCCAGAATATATATACTCAGGGTCACAGATGATTTCTTGTTGTTACATGCGGAATGACAAACCACTATCACCACAGATGTTGGTAGATGGTTGATGTTGATAAAATATAAACTAATTATTCGAGAAGACGCCTATAACATTGTTATTTTTCGCTCGATATAAATATTTTATACCGCGTTAGAAAGATAATTTTCTCTAGAATTTTTTCAAATTGAAATGTTAAGAAAATATAATTTATATGCCACAAAATGTTCCTATTTTCACTCAATTTCACACTTTTTAATCGATTTCCAACAATGGTTTCCTTTAATTGATTTGGTTCAAATAAAGTTTTAAAAAATGTCAATAAAGGTTTAAACAATGTACAACAAGTAGCCCGACTCTTACGTACACGAAATTACACCTCCACATTTACGGGTCCTGTGTGAATTCAACACCCTGGTGAGAAATATTATTGTGTCAAAAAACTTAAAATTTCTACTTACATATTCGAATTAATAGCGGGTTTTACGCGAAATCTCACCTGTCTACAGAGATAGTATTTTTTTTAAATACTTTTAGGAAATTTGTTCCAGAAAATTCCGTTTATTTTGAGCAAACCGAAAATTTAATTTTTTATTTATTATTGACATTTATTTTTTGTTGTGGTAGAATTTTAATTTACAAGCAGAGTTACATATTTTGTATTGAAAATTCAAACGGTATGTCTAGGGAATATTTTGACGTCATGAAATAACTCCTCAAATTTGGGACTTACTTCATTATCAAATAACTTCCCAATTTAAAAATGAAAAAAAAGCCTCAACGAAATTAAATAACTCCCTAAACTAAAATGAAATAACCCCATTTATGGGGATTTATTTCATATGAAATAAATCCCTAACTTTAAAATGAAATAAGTTCCCATTTAAAAATTCGACATCTGGAGAGTGGGGCTCCAAAGTTTAATGAAATAACTCCCCGAAACAAAAATGAAATATCCCCCTAAAAATTTGTTCAGAAAGCAAAAACAACATTATTTCACATTTAAAATGGGAAGTTATTTCATTATGAAATAATTCCTCAAAATTCAAAAATGAAATAAATCCCTAAAAATATTTTTGGGGAGTTATTTCATTATATTACTTTTATGACACGAAATAAAAAATATGGCGTCATGAAATAACTCCTCACGGAATAACTCCCCAAAACAAAAATGAAATATGTCCTCAAATTTGGGGACTTTTTTCATTATGAAATAATTCCCCAATTTAAAAATGAAAAAAAGCCCCAACGAAATGAAATAAATTCCCAAATTAAAATGAAATAACACCTCATTTTTGGGGATTTATTTCACATGAAACAAATCCCTAATTTTAAAATGAAATAAGTTCCCATTTAAAATTAACAAATTATGGAACAAATCGGTTTTAGCGATATTTCTAAAAAAAGTAGTTCGCTCATACTTTCGAGTGGGGCTTCGAAGTTTAATACATTTCAGTTCAATCGCTTAATAAAGATTCCCTTAATAACCGGCTTGCGGCCGGGCCCAAGGACTTCCTACTCTATGGTATGTCCAACAACGGCTTCGGTTAATAAATATTTCCAAAATAGCTGGCCTACGGCCGGACGCAAGGATTTACCACTCTATAATATGACCACCACCGGCTTCGATTAGTAAAGATTTCCTAAGGCCGAACACTCTTGATACAGGGAGAGTGTATTCTTAGCGAAGCCGGTGTCCAATACACCCCAGAGGATAAAACCCTTGCGCCCGGTCAAAGGCCGGCTATCAGACATATATTTTTTATTTCGTTTGATAAAAGTAATATAATGAAATAACTCCCCAAAAATATTTTTAGGGATTTATTTCATTTTTGAATTTTGAGGAATTATTTCATAATGAAATAACTCCCCATTTTAAATGTAAAATAATGTCCCAAAAAAGCGAATTAAATCCCCAAATTTCGTTGTTTTTGCTTTCTGAACAAATGTTTAGGGAGTTATTTCATTTTTATTTTGGGGAGTTATTTCATGACGCCAAAAAATATATGCATGATAGCCGGCCTTCGG